TACACAGTTACCTTCAAGAATTCATTTGAATGTCTTCCCGATTGAATTTTTATCTAAAATTTGGTATGAGTGAACCAGACTTAATGAATCAGATGCTCAAAAAATTTCATAAGTTCCACCGAGAACCGTCCCAAATGGCGACGGTCGGATAGAACCTTACGAGGACTTATTTCATTCCTTTATGCAACTTCTAGGACAAAACTCACAAATTGATAAAATTTTGGGAAAATTTTTACGATAAAGGGGGAGTATAATTTAAGACAGTTCTATCGCACGAGTATCATCCTTCTCAGGCGGCCTAAACCCTTCAACAGTTCCACCCGGCAGCGCAATTCCAACCCTTCTGTGCCGCGCTTCTATGAACCTCTTTAGATGAAAACTCACCGAATTGCTCGAAACATGAGACGGTTCTCTAGACCGAGCCTCCAATGCTTCGCACACGGGCATTGTGAAGAAGTTTCCAGGAACGGATTTCCGACTGGTCATTTTCATACCCTGCGATCTCTTTACACAAATCCCTCTTTTTGGAGAACCAGCTTCAGAAACTCAGCCACACGATCCTTAATCAGCTCAAGTTATACGACTTCAGCTCCGGAAACAAAGCCCGCTCCATCCGATACAGTGTTGGGCATTGTCGATGAGATTTCGGGTCTCACTCTACTCGAAGTCTCGGATTTGGTCGAGACACTGAGGAAGAAGATGGGAATTGATGAGATGCCCGTAATGGCAATAATGATGCCCGGAATGGGTTTTAGTGCTGGAGGTATGAGGGGAAAGGGTTCCGGAGCCGCAGCCAAGGCAGAGGAGAAGGTGGAGAAGACGGTCTTCGATTTGAAACTGGAGGCCGGGTTTGATGCTGGGGCGAAAATCAAAATTATTAAGGAAGTTAGGTCTTTCACCGACCTTGGATTGAAAGAAGCCAAAGAGTTGGTTGAGAAGGCTCCTGCAGTTTTGAGGAAGGGGGTTGCTAAAGACGAGGCTGAGAAGATCATTGAGAAGATGAAGGGGGTTGGTGCGAAAATCACCATGGAGTGAGCTAGGTAAATATGTCTCTTATGGTTCATTGAACTCTGTTGACTGATATGTTTTTGCTAAAGATATATTTCATGACTGATAGATGGGAAGTAACAGTATATCTCTTTGCTTCATTTATTTCTGACCCAGGGCACTAGTTTAGTGCTTGAACATCATATGGTTCTGTTCTTGCTTCTTTTTCTTTCAAGTGATGTGATGCTTTGTATCAGTTATACATTTCATCATTTACTTTTCCCCAGTGTTCCATTGTAAAATTAAGATGCATGCTGTGTATAGAGAATTTAAGCATCAAATATTCTTGTTTAACTTCCAGAAGCAGATAAAATTTTCTCTGCCATTCCTACTCACAAATCTAAACTGGATATTCACTAGGGTCAATGGGTGTATCTCACGAGATGTTGTTTTGGTCGTTTCCATACATTTTCTACCTTCCTCACCTCTCATTGTTAAGAATGTAAAACTGACAAAGCTTAATTGAAGCATGTTGTAAAAATTAAGACGGTTCATGATATTACCCTGGGTGTTATGGCCTTACGGGATGAGGTTTACCTTAAATCTCTAAGCTGTACCTTCTTTGGAATTCTAGTATCAGTCTTTCAGAACATTTCTTTTATCTAAATAATTAAGTTAACAATAAATGTACAAATTCTCTCAGTGTAGAACTAAATAGGAATGTCATTAGTTATTTGGAAAACCTTGGATGACCCTTTAGTGTATTGAGCATTGTTATGACATGTGATGGTTGAATAATGCTTTTATAGTTCTCTTTCATCATTTTCTCCCTTGTCCATCTTTAACAAGGTACTAATATTGTACCCGTGCGATGCACGAGACAATAATATATTCATATTTAACATTTTTTTATTATTTAAGTGAAATTGAAATACATGTACAATATAAATTACTGATATATGTTTTACGACATGTCATTAAAAGCGTTGTAACACAAACATATATATGTGGTACAAACATGTCATTAAAAATGTGTTACAACAAAATATTAAAAGTACACATTTTGGAAAACCTCTAGATACACAACCTTGATTGTCAAAGTACTTGGCATGCAATCAACGTTGCTTATCATCCATTCTGAGTCCTTCACGTTTAGTAACTCGTGACACTATGATATATAGTTTACCATGAGACAAAACATGTTTTTTTAGAATAATTCGACATAGTGAAGAGATTTTCCTATGTCGACAAAACATGTATAATTCGACTGAGTACATGACTGTTGTTGATGTAATATAATTTAAAATTGTATGTGTATTGTATAATCTTATAAGAATGAATACTTATTTTTAATTCATAAAAAAGAGTTCAACATTCGTGACAATCCATTTTTAACTCATAGTTTTTTTGCACATTCGTTTATCTCATAGTTTCTAAGAATGTGTGTAGTCCTGATTTTTATGGTTTCTAAGATTATCAAATCGATGTATTTCTATGTCTTATTATCTAATGCTATATGTTTTTTATTTTTTATTTTTATAATTATGCTTAGTTGTTTACTTGTTTAAATGTTGTTTCAGTATCTATCTCATGAAAAGAAACCAAATTTGTAATAATATAGGAAAAAAGATGCTATGCTTTGCCTGGCATCCTTAAACTCATTATTTTTCTCTAGGTGAATTGAGGTACGAATCTAGTCACCTTGCATTTAAAATAAAAATGAGTTTAATTGTTAACATTGACCCTATAGGCATAACACTTTTTTTTTTTTAATTTCCATATATACATACATGTACCTCCGCACATCTAGGATAGTAAATTCCTTTGTGTTCGCAACGTTATTATGTAAGAGGTGAATATCGTCGCTCCGCCTATCCCCAAGAGCCGCCCGGGGTGTTCAAATTGTAGATTTTTCTAGCAACAGCTTCCATTCTTGAGAGCAGAAAGATTCAATGAGTCACAAACGTAGATCTTATAACCCCATGAGTCACAAACGTAGACCTTATAACCCCATGAGTCACAAACGTAGACCTTATAACCCCATGAGTCACATCGCTTGCAGTGGATCGGATGTGCATTTGATGTTGATAAGAGGCAGTGAGCAGTTTTTTATAGTGGTAGTCCTGGCAGCAGTTAAAGTGGTAACTGCCACGATTTGCAATTGTTGTTGGATTTAGGAGTTTCTTAGATTTCCAGAATTTACACGGTTAATTACACATATTTATACCACGTGAGGTGCAGGCGTAATCCAACGCGGGAACAGTTATATTGACCAACGATTCCATTTTTATATATATAAAGATTATGTGATGTTTGCATTATATTTAGAGATATTTCTTGAGGTCACTCTCAGGTCTGTGGTGTATCTCAAAATGACCCATGCTATTCTCGTTTTAAAATAAACCCTGAGGAAGCCTAAAGTATCTCGAAAAGAACTTCTTGAGGTTCCCTTGCTGTAAGAAGCATGTATATGGGAGGGTCATTTTGACGAACATGAGGGTTACCCAAGGAATTTCCTTTATATTTGGACTGTGTGGCGTTGACAACTCTCTTAGAAGCAAATACTTAATACTAGTGCGCAATTTTCCAACTGCTGTATGCCTGTATGGTACCCCTTGCCTAACAGGGATGGATGCTCAAATGGAAATTGTGTTTTCAGTCGGGCTTTTCATGAGCATCATCAAAACTCATTTCTATGGTTTTGCCTAAAGCTTTTTACAGTAAAGTAACTTTTCCAAAACTGTGCTGACACTTGTTATTTGCACTTTTATCCAGCTTTCACAATTGGAGAGCATAATGCTTATGCTGGATATAGTCTACAGATTGACATTTGGGTGATCGTTACTGGGGTCTGGGAGCACACTTTAGTGATAGAATGAACTTTTACTGATATAGAACTTTCTCCACATCATCTCTCTTGTTTTCATCCATTAATGAATAATACTAGAGGCCAGCGTCATTGAAAAGCTCTTGGTTGGAGGATTATTTCCAGATGAATGCAGTGAACTTCATGTCCATGTGCTATCTTATCATTGCTTCTGCTTAACACTCTTCCACAGCTGTTTGGACTTCTTCATTCTCAATTCTCATGACAGGTTTCGATGGAATATTCCCTTCTTTTGCTGACTTGTATGTTAGTTACAGTTCATACTGTCTTCTAAATTTTCATATATTCTTTCGATATGTTTATCATGTATCAATTGATGTTGATTCTTTCAATATGTTCATCTTAAGTGCGTTTGGTGGTAACATGCCAATGTCCCTCTTTTCCTGTATTTTATAATCTAGAATTCCAGATTAAACACTTCCATGCGAGGGGACATTCTTTCAAGTTATTTTCCTTCAAAAGTTCATGTATCATTTGCATCATCAAATTCAAAGTTGAACCAACAAATAATAATTTTTTCTCCTACTTTACTGATTTCTCAAACACAGAGTAGATTAAACTGACTCCATCAAGAAAGTCGGTACAGGTGGGTGGACACGGGTCAGTCTGGTTAGGTTCCCCTTGCTGATAACTGATAGTAGTCCAGGTGGGGTAGAACTGACGGTCCTATTTCGGTTAAAAAACTGTACTAGCCTATTTATATGCCTATTTTGGATAACTAGATTGGAATGCGACCATGTCTGGTTCCAGTCCAAAGCTGAAGCTGTGCCCAAGCTTACTTTTGAAACACCCAAACACATTTTAGCACAATCAGAAACTCTTCAAATAAACTAAATTTTCCTTTTATCGGATATGGAAAATAAGAACTGCATAGCAGTTATGTTGTAGTTACATGACATTTACACATAGATACCAGCTTTCGCTAACTGGGAGTGGGAAAGGTAGAAATGACTCATTTACATAATTACATATCACTATATCAAACTGGATCAGGTGAGTATGGACAAGATGGTGGGGATGCCATTGCCGTCCCCGATTTCACTTGTGAATTAATGTTACACCCTGTCATCGTGAAACCACCATGTTGTTTCCTTGGGCGATCTCCCATTCGTGCAATTCCTTAAGTAGCGGTCGTTATCTTCAGGGAGTTGCTGCACAAGATGGAAATACAGTGATCATCATGCTGGCTGGCTATCAGAGCAATGAATAAAGTGATTATTTGATGAATAAGAGAGAATACCTTCGCAGTAGAGCTTGATAGCATAGAGAGAATGCTAATGCAGATGGAATGAACCGTCATTGCAGGAGACCATGTATCATACAGAATATCTGACACATAATGAAGCACGCATTAACTTGCTGCAATATAGATTTATATAGACAATGTGTGTATGCGGTTTGAAGTCATCTTTGTCTATTGTTTGTAATTGCAAGTGATGAGGCCCGCTAGGCAGTACTAAAATGGCAAGATGCGTGGACAAAAAGAAGCAAAATTTTCAACACTGCCAACAAACAAAAACAGAAGCAGAAAAGACTAATTTGAAGCATCTAATAAGCTGTACAAATGGAGTAGATAACAATAAACTAAAGGGCCAACTTACACCTGCAACCAAATGTAAAATTTAAACAAAGAATATCATGCACGCCTCTATATTATAAGATGATTACCTAAACAAATATGGCCATTGCTGTATATATGTGGGTGCAATGGAGGCGGACACAAAAATATCACCTGCAGCACCAAGTTAAGAAACATTATAGTCATGGCCTAATGTAAGCAAACATTTTTTAAAATAAAGCATCAAGTGATATATCAAAGTCCACCTGAGGAGCTTCCATAGGATACTGTTCCGGAAATTCAACTTGAAGCTGATAAGTCTCATCAGCATACAGGGTTTCAGGAGCTCCATATACTTCAATCACCCACCTTTTGGTCGAACACGAAATTCGTGATTGGGTGAGATGATACAAATATAAAGAATCATACAAACATAATCATCCTTACACTTTGAAATTACAGCTTTTTTTTCCTTTTCAAAGATGACTAAATATGCCAAGGTTTTTTTGAAACTCTAAATACATTCAATTTTTTTCTCCCTCCAACACCAACCTATCTGGGAACAAAAGTTTTCGAAGATTTTTAAAAAAAGTCACTGGAAAAGTAATATCCGAGAGGAAAAAAAGGCGCTGGAATTTATTGCTAAAAGTGGTAGCACATCACTTGCATCATCATCTCAGGTGTTGTCATATTAAAGCTGAAGTGTTTAATACTCTCTCCCTCCGTTATACTGTACTGTTTTTTTTTTCTTCATAAATCTCACTAAGAAGTGTTTGTAAAACACTGTAAGAAGTGTTTGTTCCAATTCATTCTGATCCTCCCCTCGCGTAGAGGGGAAGCGGGTAGTACAATGTTTCAATTTTTGACATTTTAGGTAAAACAAATGGAGTAATAGTGAAAACAAAAGCTAAGAATTGAAGATGTATGTAATAAGGGATGGGAGGACCTTTGAAGATTGTCATCGTCATCAGTGGGCTTAATAAGTTTGAATCCAGGGGGCGGATTGGCCTGCCAGGAAGCCTGCAGCTCTTTCTGGATTCTGTTACAAGCCGTCTTGCTAAGCCTCTTCTGCAATTCCATTTCAGCACTCAAAATTAATTAAATACATTTTGCATATAGACAGACAGTAATCATAGAAGAAGAAGAAGGTAGCTAGCCGGACCTTGGGAGGGGAAGCGGTGGAGCTGTTCATGGCTGGCTAGCTCGGTTGAATGTGTGAAACAAAATGTATCATCGCCCTATATATATATACCACAACATTCTACTTACTTTTGCTTCTCTTCCCGAACTAATTTCTGATTTCTCTCCTTTTCTTTATCATATAATAAAGTACTAGACGAAGCATTTATCCCCAAGTCATTCCTAACCAAAAAATTATTTCATTTTCTTAATTCATATTCCCTCCATATTCGAATGTTTGAGCCCGGCATATAAAGTTTAAAAGTAATATCATTGAGGTAGCAAATATTATACTCCGTACTATTGGCGTTTGATTGGCATCGCGGCAAATATTAAAAGTGTAAAAATATATAACTTTGTGAAGTTGATTGGCCTCACGGAAAATTATAAAATAAAGTGTATCGTTTAGGTATGTATAGAGGATACAGAAATAATAGGAACCGCATAATCATTTATTAGAAATAGAAAATGATAAAGTTTTGGGAACAACAGAAAAAATTGTGGAAAAGTATAAAACAAAATTGTGGATAAGTACAAAAATTAAGAATACTTTGATATTTTTAGATGAAAAATGTATCACAAGCGGTAAAAACTTACAAATGTCTAAATACATCCTAAAAATTTGGTCAAATAGTACTCCGTATTGATTACTTTGGTCGTTCAATTAAAAGTAACCCAAATTGATGGTACTCCGTAATGATCCTAGGCGTCTTTCACATTCGATGGCTAAGGTAATAAGAATCATTAACTAACAAGTTAATTGATGGCTTCGATTTCAAGGAAATGCATATTCCATTATGGTATACCAAGCAAGATCAAACGTGATAATAATGTATGTGGATATTTTTAATTGGTTTGAAACATTCTGATATACATGATATGGTACGGTTTGGTCTGTTACTCTGTTTATATGTTCTAATATGTCGGGTAATTAAAAACTACCTGACATATTCTAAATATATTACTTCATCCGTTCTTTAATACACTATTCACACATCTTACCTTGATCATGATTTTCTATTGATATATACGGAGTATAATCAAATTATTATGAATAAAATATTATTAAATTGCTATTAATGTGAATTTCCCAAATATTAACTTTTTATAATATTTACTAGAATATTACTAAAATAAAACTTATTTTACAAGAATATTACGAAAATAAAACTTATTTACATAAATATGACTATTCATTACTACAACTTAGTGTTGTGGTAACCATGGGCGGAGCTAGGGGTGGGCCAACCTAGGCCATGGTCCACCCCAAATTTTAAAAATTGCTTAATTTTTAAGGTAAAAAATTTCGTGTAATTTTTTTTTTAATATTCTTTGTACCGGCCCAGTCCGGCCCAATGCCCTGGTTCCGCCCCTGGACTGGTAACTTAAGTTCAAAACTTAAACATGAATTACCATGATCTAGTAACTAGTCAAAATTTTGTAAATCATCTTTATTTTGATCATACTTATGTAATTATTTCTATTTTTACTAATACATAATTAAATTTTAGTATAATTACACTCAAAATTATGCATTGACAAAGAAGGGCGGTAGTATATTATTGCTGACAGGGATCCATAAATATATTAAATTTAGACAATTTTACCGTGAGAATATTTGAAATGTAATATGTCCGAATAATACCTATCATTCTAACTTATAAGGGCATCTCTAGTGCTCATATTGCATTGCTGCTTATGTGCTAGCTCAAATATCAATAGAATGGTCATGATCGGGCTGAACTTGAAAGTATACAAGTACCGACATAGTAATAAAATACCGGTAAATACTGGGTCAATCCACAGGGAAATGGTTGATATTGTAAAGTCAAGTATTGAATGCAAGGAATATAAATGATATAATTTTTCAGGAACTTTGCTCTTTGAGATTGGTTCAAACAAGAATGAGAATTACTAAGGCAATCGGGATTCACCTAAATGCTTTTATAGTTATTTAATAATAGTTCTTCCCCAATAATTATGAATACGATGTCGCTAATATATTCTCCACTCCGGTTAAGGCAGCGAGAGCGTGGTTTTCATTACGTGTAAGTCCCGTTACGGCTTGCATTCATCTACCGAAAACCCCGTTGAATATCAAGACATCACACTCGTATCATATAAGACCGGATATATTTCTATTCTCGGTACTATATATGTTTATCCTTTAATGTTTATAGTTTAGACTTCAACGTTAATTGCAAACATGAACTAAATTTAACATATTTCTATGGTGTACACCATAGTCATAAACAATCAAAATATAAAGGATAAATCACAAATTATTGGTTTAGAACTTTTATCAAACACCTAGTGTGCATAGATGTTCATCCCTAGCCTTAGCTAAGAAATTAGCCTCTAATGCTCATATTAATCACAATACAATATTGAAACGTAATGGAACATGAAATTACAAAAGAAATAATACCTAAACACCAATGATTTCGGAGGTTGAAGTTTCCTCCTCAAGAACTTGTAGAAAAAGAGCAAGAACAAATTATAAAGACTAAGAATTAATCTATGGAATGAAATGTGTTTGCTTGATGAATTGATGGTTTTATATAGGCTAAAGAATGACATCTTTTAGTCTATTTGAGCCCAACAATCAGGTATGGAGCAATATTTGATTAAGAGATGAGGAAGGTGAAGTTTTCCCATAAAAAATCCTCTAGAACCGGCCCCGGTCGAAAACAGGCTCTTTTGGGCGAAAAACATCTTCCGACCGGCGCCGGTTCTAGCCTGACCGAAGCCGGTTGCTGCGTCCAATAATGGGATTCACTTCTCTTCCTCTTAAATGGATCAAAAAGTGTCGGTTTTCGTCCTGAGATTTTGGGGATGTTCCGCTACGAATTTGGACATGATTCCTTCACTAAAGTTGTAGGTAATGAAGTCTTTTATCCACCAAAACTTGAATGATGTAATTTTATTCATCCAATCAAAAGACATGGATAAAACAGTGAGAGGTATGTATACTGAAATCCCACCAGCAACATCTGACTTTATTGGTTGATTGAGTCTTGTTCCTTTCATATTTTGGCCATGACGTATCCATAACATTTGTACCTTATTGAGTTAGCATTCACATGAAACTCGAATCGAGTGATTTCAAGTTCTATAAAATAAGTTATACTCAAATTATAGGCAGAACGACATCCCCTTGGTCTCAAAAACTGTTTATCACAATGTTTTATGCTTTAGCTCTCATTCTGAAGGTATTTGTCCGATTTCTCTTCTTTTCTTCAACAAATACTTATAAATATTTATGTTAAACACAGGTAAATATAACGGCTATCAAATCCCCCCACACTTGAGCATTGCTTGTCCTCAAGCAATTTCTTCACTTTTGGATGCCTTGATTAGTTTCAACAAAAATATATGAACAAAAATAGTTTTAATTTTAAGAGAGGTAAAAAATTATGTAAACTCTTATCATTCTCGGTTTAAAACCAAATTTCTATTACACACACAAAACTATCATTAGATTTAGAAAAATTACTTATACCCTTGAGAGTAGATAAGTGGCTTGTGACTGGGACTTTTTGGGTGTGTAGGATGGATTTTCGGTGTGTTGACTTTTCAGTATAGAAGTGGATCAGTTGAAATTCTTGAAAGAGATCATGAGTTTTTTTTGTTTATAACTCATTTGAATTGGTTCTCAACAAACATTTACTGAAAGTCATTTTGATCATCCCAATTTATTTGATGAGATATGGGGGTGGCTTGTTTTCCAAAATAGTTTTTGAATATTTGAGATGTACTTAAACCATTTTTGGAAATGGAAGAAGATGGTGTTTCCTAGTCACAAGGTTTATTTTGGGAATGGTTTTCAAGAGTAAAAGTAGTGTAATAAATAAAAAAAAATGATAGTTTATGTGAATAATAAAAAAGTTCTCAACCAAATACCCATTAAAAAGAGAATTATCACAACTTTTACCCTCCTAAAAAATTATTTTGCACACAAAATTTGTTTAACTAACCATGAGAGCACCCCCCACACTTGAGATACATTGTCCTCAATGTACATTGGAGGATGCAATGGAGGATGAAATCTTCAATAGTGGAATGGGTTGTCTTGTGAGAGTGAGAGATGCATGAGTTTAGATGATGGTTTTTTGTTTGTTTTTTGGGTTTCAATTATAAATAAATATGAATGTGTGTATAACTAAACATACTTATTTATAATTGATTTTTTTGTTGGGTTGTCTTCCAATTAGCGCTTAGTTTAACGTCATAGGACAGACGCAACGTACCTCTTACGTGTGATTGGGCTCCCGAAGACGTTTGACTAGTGTTACCTTTCGGTGGAGCTCGTGCGGAGGCCATGGATTTGTTGGTCCATTCCTTTTATCCCCGAGGTGTGTTGGAGGATCATCGGGTTCAGACAGTTGTGCTTTTATGCTATTGATGCCTTTGTGAGTGTTGACCCTATGGTTTTAATTTCAGTGGATTGTGTTTTCCACACATGGAATGTCTCATTGTCGTCCCCCACCCTTAGCTTTACCGTGCACGCTTGTACATCGATGACGGCTGCAGAATTGGCTAAAAATGATCTCCCAAGGATGATGGGGATCTCCATCTCGTCCATGTCCAAAACAAGAAAATCTACTGGGAAGTGGAATTTTCCAACTTTGACAAGGACATCCTCCATGATGCCTATCGGATAGCGGATTGTTCTATCCGCTAATTGCAAAGCAACTGTTGTTGGTTGGAGTTTCCCCACACTTAAATTTTTAAATAGGGAGTAGAGCATGAGATTTATGCTAGCACCAAGGTCACAAAGAGACCTTACCTCCCCGACTTTTCTGATAAAGCATGGAATAGTGAAGCTTCCGGGGTCTTTTAGTTTTGGAGGAAGTTTGTTTTGAATAATGGCACTACATTCCTCCGTTACTGCCACGATTATGAATTCCTCTAACTTCTTTTTGTTGGAGGTGATACCTTTGAGAAATTTTGCGTATGATGGAATCTCCGCAATGGCCTCCGCAAAAGGTATGTTGATGCTCAATTTCTTGAAAATATCAAGAATTTTCTTATATTTCTTCTCATCTCCTTTCTTCTTCAAGTTTTGTGGGTAAGGGATAGGGGGAGCATATTGAGCCATGATAGGTGGGAGTGGTGTATGTGTAACATCGT